AATCGCCAATGCGGCGGCTCGTAGCTGTGGTCGCAAGGTCTCTGGTGCTGGTCCCGGCGGCAACCCCCGAACCCGGTGGTGGACACCGGCAGTAAGGGATGCTGTCAAGCTGAAGAAGGAGTCCTATCGAGCCATGATGGTTCGGGGGACTCCTGAGGCAGCTGTCCAGTACCGGCAGGCCAAGCGTGCCGCGGCCCGGGCTGTTGCAGAGGCAAAAACCCGGGACTGGGAGGAGTTCGGAAAGTCCATGGAGCATGACTATCGGTCGGCCTCGAAGAGATTCTGGCAAACCATCCGGCGCCTCAGGAGGGGGAAGCAGTTCTTTGCCAACACCATGTACGGTGCGGGTGGAGAGCTGCTGACCTCGACGGGATATTGTCGGGCGGTGGAAGGAATACTTTGAGGTTCTCCTCAATCCCCCCGTCACGTCCTCTGTTAAAAAGGCAGAGGCTGAGGACGTTGGGGCGGGTACATCCATCACCCTGGCTGAGGTCACCAAGGTGGTTGGTAGCCTCCATGGTGGCAAGGCTCCGGGTGTGGATGAGATCCGCCCTGATTATCTAAAGTCTCTGGATGTTGTAGGACTGTCTTGGATGACACGTCTCTGCAACATCGCGTGGCGATCGGGGGCAGTGCCAATGGAGTGGCAGACCGGGGTGGTGATCCCTCTCTACAAGAAAGGGGACCGGAGGGTGTGTTCCAATTATCGTGGGATCACACTCCTCAGCCTCCCCGGTAAGGTCTACTCCAAGGTACTGGAGAGGAGGCTACGGCCGATGGTCGAATCTCGGATCCAGGAGGAGCAGTGTGGTTTTCGTCCCGGTCGCGGAACACTGGACCAGCTCTATACTCTCCATCGGATACTCGAGGGTTCATGAGAGTTCGCCCAACCTGTCCATATGTGCTTTGTGGATTTGGAGAAGGCGTTCGACTGTGTTCCCCGGGGTGTCCTTTGGGGGGTTCTCCGGGAGTACGGGGTCGGAGGTCCTCTGCTGAGGGCCATCCGATCCCTGTATGACCGGAGCCAGAGCTGTGTTTGCATTGCCGGCAGTAAGTCAGACCTGTTCCCGGTGAATGTTGGCCTCCGACAGGGCTGCCCTTTGTCACCGGTTCTGTTCACTGTATTTATGGACAGAATATCTAGGCGCAGCCAGGGGTCGGAGGGGGTCCGGTTCGGAGACCACAGGATTTCATCTCTGCTGTTTGCGGACGATGTTGTCCTGTTGGCTCCAACGAACCAGGACCTGCAGCATGCACTGGGACGGTTTGCAGCCGAGTGTGAAGCGGCTGGGATGAGAATCAGCACCTCCAAATCCGAGGCCATGGTGCTCGACCGGAAAAAGGTGTGTGATGGCAAGCGGCCTAGACTCGGGGACGCCAACTTACCCCCCCTGCTGCTCTATTCAATTAAACCTGCAGGAAGGAGCCGGGCTTCCCCCCGCACCTACAGACAATGACTGTCTCACCCTTGTCCCTTTTGCATCTTGCATCTGTATGTCTGCATCTCTACATCCTGCATGTCCATTGTCTCTCTGTTTGCATCTCTATGGCACGGTCTGATTGCCTCCCCCCGGACTAGGCGCCTCGCCTCTGGATGCGCCTCCTGTACTGGTGACCCCCTCCCATCTTTTGTGGGCGTGACTGTCTTCATGTGTTGTCTATGTAAACAGGAACCTGGTCTGGCCGCGTCAGAGCTTATGGACGCTGCTTTGTGTATGTGAGCTCTCCGCACGTGTGTACAATAAACTTACGCTCCTGATTAAGACAAATACTTTTGAGCTTTCTCCTTCATTGGGGTATGTAATTCTACAACAATTTGGCGTTGCTGACATGTCTTGGCATGGGATCTTTTCGGCGGGGACGAGCGGCTGCGTTTGGCCGACCTGGAACAACACCAGCCTCTGCTCTATTTGGAGACAAAGGGAGGGCGCGCTCGTCCTGCGCGTGAACAGAATCTTTGGCCACACAAGACCAAAAAGAACCTGATTTGGTGAGTTTTGTCTTTTCATCTGCGTAACAAGCCCAGGGCAGCACTTAAGTGTACACGGGGTTTTGATTTATTGACGTATTTTTTGGGGTATTTCATTCATTGCCACAGCATAGACTGTGTGCGGGATTTTTTGGGGTATTTTGTTCTAGATTGAAGCTAGCGGCTGCGTGTTAGTATCGCTCAGTAAGCGACCCTGAAGATTATCTCTAGTGCCTTCAGCCAGGCCCGCTCCGTTTCAAGAACGCGCGCTCGTTGGGTATATAGAACCCACGGGGGGGGAACGGAGCGCTCCAAAGTGGGTAAGAGCAGGGAGAGACTAAACGGGTTAGGTCCATTGTTCTGTACGAGAAAATGGGGAAAAATCAATCTAGAGATGCCACACCGAGGGGAATGTTAACGTCCCCCGTTACAATGGCAATGGAAAAACGGTTCGAATCTTAAGCTATGGAGTGCTTGCCTACATGGTGCAGTGTTCATTTGGCTTTTCCGATAGAGGCTCTATGTCTCTGAATCAATTACGCATCTTGCGTGATAATTTAGAAGAAGAAAGGAAAAAAATATACTTGGTTTTAAGAATATCACGGCAAAAGACGTTAGAGAAAGAAATATGTAAAAACAATAGCTCCTCCGCTTTTCACCGAAGCGGAGAACACACAGGCGGACACACAGGCGGACACACACATCCCACACACCCCCCACCCTACCGCCCTCTCTCACCTACTAACCCTTTCACACAAGGAGCAGAACTCCATGCTAAGTACGCGCCCAAACAAGGCGTTGGGTTTTTTAAAAAAAAATGAGCAGACTACTGTTGTCCCCTTTTCCTCTCCCTGTCCAGGTCTGTCGGCGCTTTCCTCCGCGCTCTGGCCTCTGCCTCAAAGCCCCAGCACCAGCCCCACGCCCCAACCACGGCGGCGCTCGCACCAGCTGAGACCCCGCGAGAAGTGGACCCAAACCCGGGAGCAGAAGAAGAAGCGGCGGAAGCAGATACACGCTCAGGAAACCGCAGAAGAAGAAGCGGCGGAAGCAGATACACGCTCAGGAAACCGCAGAAGAAGAAGCGGCGGAAGCAGATATGTGAGACACCGACAACTGCTTTGGAGGCCAGAGACAAACTGCTCCAAATCCCGTGACTGTTCCCCACGGAGGCGGCAGCGTGAAACACCAAACGCACCCGCTGAAACCTCGTTGAAAGTTGCCCCCGCACCGCAAACAGAAGAAGCCATTGGGACCGGCACGTTTGGGTATTAACCAACCCTCATGGACCACAGGCTAACATTATTTGAACGCTTTGGGCTACCTGGGCCTCCTGCGGACTTTGAGAAACTTCCACAGCCCGGCGGAAAGACTGTGTGCTCGACATGTGTCGAAGGACTGTCACCGGAGGAGGCGTTAAAGGCAGAGGAACGCTCAAGCTCACACGGGGCCAGAGGACGGCAGAGGCGGGCGTGGAGGAAACACGAGCGACTGACCAAACCCGGGTTCACATTCGTCACCAAAGCGACCGCTCATGTAAGTTTGAACAACAACAAATTGCAATTGGCACTTTTTAGAGATAATTCATGCTGAATTCCCGTAACATACGCTAACAATTTGTGGCGAAAATGTTACTTTTCTAGTTGACTCCGGGGCAACAAATTCTGTGCTAAAAAGTGACAGCCTTTCTGTCTCCCCTAAAATGAGTGGCCGCTTCACATTCTCATTAGCAGCGTCGGGAGAGACGACTAAAGAGCAATTTACGTCACCGCTAACGTGTTTTGATTCTCAGGGCAACCAGCTTAAACATTCTTTTCTATATTCCCCATTGTGCCCGGTTAATCTACTAGGCCGAGACCTTATGTGCAGACTCAATTTAAATCTGCTCTCAACACCAAGCGGCCTACGGGTGGTACACGCTAGTGACCTAGCAAATGCTCCATGTTTCACCGGCATGCACAAGGAGGCACCGGTCCCAAAAGTTAACTACCACTGGAAATTGACACCAAACCCTGAGATTGCTAAGTTATTAGCCACAACAGTGGATAGAGTGACGCCCGCACAAAATTTGGAGGTCAACCACGCGAACGACCTAAGCTGCTCTCTCCGGTCGTTCCCAGACAATAACTTGGAGTTTGAAAATTCATGGCTTCAGTGTAGTGAAGATAGGCTAACGGAGTACGTTTATTGAGATAGGCACCACTCTATGGTATCTGTGCTACTTAATGAGCAACAAAAACATTTTATCGTGAAACAAAGGTGAAGTACTAAAGTTTGAGACTAATTTACATTTTTTAATGAATCCGACCTGGCTTTATTGAAAAAGAAAAAAGAAGGAAAATAAACATTTTCAAGTAACAAGAGCTCATTAGAGATATAGGGGACACAATCTGTGATAAGCCCGAAGTACAGTGTAGCATATACGTTACCCAATAGCTAATAAGAACTAGTAGCTGGATATATAAGTAATGTAGTAATGTACTTTAGTTTGTTATCTCAAAATGCTAACTAGGAAAAGAGATAGATTTGGGCTAGTATCAGAAACTCTGGAACGACTCTGGGAGAGAGGAGGCAGAAACTGTATATACCTTTGGTTTGCACCATGTATTAAACAATTATATACAGTGGCAGTGAATAACAATATAAACAGTGAAAAACAGTGAATGGCCATTCATAATGATGCAATACTCGAGCAAAGATATATTTACACAATACAAAAATAAACAACGTTCTAGTGGACTCAGAAGTTCAAGTACTCTCAGGTAATCAAGGAACTCAGAAGTTCAAGTACTCTTAGGTATTCAAGGAACTGGTGTGCAAATACGCGACTTTAAGTTCTGTAAAGTGCGAGTGCATCCAAGTCCAAGTTCAACACAAGTAATCCCAGAGTTGGGATTCTCCAACACCGAGGGGGATCGATGGGTTTCGGAAGGAATGGGTAGTGTTGAAGGAGTAGTGTTGAGATATGACTCAGTTGTAAGGATCCCAATAAAGTGCTGTGTGCAAGAGTTCAATTATAGGCTGCGGGAGCCTCCTACCAGCCCAGGACCAGTGGTGGAGGAGGAACTCCTTCAGGGTCCAGAATCAGAGGTTCAGTTCCAGTGGACTCTAGCTCGCCATCACATGCCTGAACCACAGGACCATGGAAATCAATAACTTGTGTACACATAAACTCTTGTATAAATACAGCTTCTATAAAAATACTTTCATATAATCAAATGCAACTACATGTCAAAGCTTCACATATAACTTTGAATACAAGCAGAAAACATTCAGTTAATCACATGTTCAATAATTAATAATTGTATAAATATTCATAAATCTCAATTAATCATTGTATAAATATCAATCAATAATCACAATCAATATGTAAACCAGTGTCTGGTACACTCACTCAACTGTGCATGTAGTAAGTGTCTCACTAGCTGCAGCTGCGCTCCACAAATGCAACTAGTAAACATACAATATAGGCTAAAAACCACCATTAAAGTAGTCTGTTACTCTTTAACACTTGTATACATTATAAGTAAACAGTATGTGTAGGTTGTCATGACTCTTAGACAACACCGATAACTTTAAACAGTGAAGAGACTTGGCAAAACCACAATGCTAACTTTACTATAAAAGCAAATGGGAAATGCTAAGCTAACACACTCAATACAAATGAATGGAGGATTCTGAAGTTAGCTCAACTCACCAATTCCGCGTGTAAACTCTGACATACGCGGCAGTTTCGTAACGCATGAGAAAAAGGCAGTCGGCTCCTGCATATTAAATGAATGACAGTAAGTTTCATGACAGTTATACATGATTTTGATGGTTAAAAACGTTACCGTACCCGCAGCACATCCAAAGCACGCTCTGCTCTCGCAAGTACTGATACTTCCGGCATAGCGGACTATATCGAACACGGATTGGGTAAACGTCTCGAACGCAGTGACGTCACACTCAAAGATAAAAATCAACTCAAGATAATAGTTTGTCAAATTGACACCTGCGTTACACCCTCCCCCCTTAAGATCATGCACCTCCGTGTGCATGTTACTTAACATGGACGGGTGAGTCAATGTCAGAAACTCGTACAGGTTTGGTGGTAAACACCTCACCATACACATCTGCTAAACTATGAAGCAGTGTTTGTACCACAGAAATAAGTGGGGCACCGAGAACGGAATAACGAAGACGGTCAGGCGGTTGTCGCGTCCTTGAAGAGCGACGAACTGACTGATCGGGTTCGGCAACGGATTGCTCAGGATCGAGTTCGGCAACAGATTGCTCAATATTAACCTCGGGGGTACTAGCGATTCTACCTGGCCACAGGACTCTTCTTCCACAGGACCATCAACTTCATCTTCTTCAGGTACAGACTCAGGATCTTCTGGTAAGTATTCGGGATTGTCTGTGGACAGCCTAGTGGTGTTAGAGGTAGCAGATTCATCAAGCTCAGGTAAGGCACGCAGCACAGATGGATTATCGGAACAGGCAGGTAAAGGGATTTCAACGCTGGAAGGCAGTGCCGTACTCAGAGGTTCACTTGCTTCGGTAACATTTTCAGATCTAAAAGTGTCGGGTAAGTGATCTGCAATGTACAATATACCCGGATATTCATCATCATCATCATCCAACTCGATGGACTCCTCTTGTGGCTGACTGCGGGTAACAGGCCTACGAGGAGGGGTGGATACTGAAGTGTCAGAGTAAGTGTCGACTGGTAAAAACCCACAGGGGAGTAAAAGATCACGATGGAGTGTCCTAGTTTTCCCATGAACATCTCTCTCCGGTCTTACGGTGTACACAGGTAAATCACCGGCACGGCTGAGGACAACGTAAACGTCGTTTTCCCACTTGTCTGCTAACTTGTGTTTTCCACGCAGTTTTACATTGCGGACAAGGACTCTATCCCCTTGTTCCAAACTAGATGGGATCACTCGTTTATCAAAACGGACTTTGTTCCTGGACGCAGACTTTTCAGCACTCTCTGAAGCCAATTTGTAGCTTTGTTCAAGTCGGGAACGTAAGCCTTCAACATATTGTGAATGCGATTTTGTCCTCCTTTCCTTTACTGGTAGTCCAAATGCAAGATCAACAGGAAGCCTAGGTGAACGACCAAACATTAACTCATAGGGAGTAAACCCGGTGACTTCGTTCTTTGTACAATTGTACGCATGAACAAGTGGCTTCACGTAATCTTTCCATCTTTTCTTTTGGTTTGGTTCGAGTGTCCCCAACATACCAAGTAATGTTCTGTTAAATCGTTCCACGGGATTTCCCCGGGGGTGATAAGGTGTAGTTCTTGTCTTTACAATGTTGGAGATCTGGCAAAGTTCTTTAATAAGCTGGGACTCGAAATCGGGACCTTGGTCCGTGTGAAGACGTTCTGGAATGCCATAGAAAACAATGAAATTTTCCCATAGACATCGGGCTACAGTCCTTGCTTTTTGATTCGCCGTTGGTAAAGCTACAGCAAACTTGGTAAAGTGGTCTGTAATCACTAGTATATCTTTAGTGTTACTCAGATCAGGTTCGAGCGACAAGTAGTCCATACAGACCAACTCAAGCGGCCGTGTAGTGGAAATGTTGACTAAGGGTGCAGCTCTTTCAGGCATCGTCTTTCGCCTGACACATCGCTCACAAGTTCGAACCTTTGTTTCAACATCCACGGACATACGGGGCCAGAAAAATCTGGATCGAACAAGATCGAGCGTTCGCTCCATGCCCATATGCCCCATGTCATTATGAAGACTATGGAGTACACGAGACCTTAACTGTTCGGGAAGAACAAGCTGGAGTTGGAGTTCTTCACCCTCACGCCTCTTTCGATACAAGACATCATCTCTAAGTTCCAAACGAGTCAACTCACGAAGCAGCAATGAGAGTTCAGGGAGTTCTTGTCTCACCCCACCGGGAACTTTTTCTCCAGTCTCTATTTGATGGATGACTTCCCGGATTACTGGGTCGGATCTTTGGTTTTCCTTTAGCTCCTGCGGGGAAAACTCCTGGACAATTGGTAATCCATGCTGACCCTCATCACTGAAACAGTCAGGAAGAGCTTCGACCGTCATGCTCAGAGACTCTACGAGCGTGATTGGGGAACATTCTGAAATGGAACTCGCTCGACAAAGAAAACTATGACAAATAGCAGCAACACTTTCAGGTGAAACTTCCATGCCTGAGTGACTATGTTCACGAGTGAAGTGCTGAATGAAATCTTTGTCAGAGTACGGGTCAGGGGATGGTTCTGAAGGTAGTCTGGACAATGCGTCTGCATCTATGTTTTGTTTACCAGAGCGATACTGAAGAGAAAAGCTGTAAGTGGAAAGAGCAGCGAGCCAACGATGACTAGCAGCATCCAACTTAGCTGACGACAAAATGTACGTAAGAGGGTTATTATCAGTAACAACAACAAAAGTAGCTCCATACAAATAATCATGAAATTTCTCAGAAATAGACCATTTCAACGCCAGAAATTCAAGTTTATGGGCCGGGTACCTTGACTCACTTAGCGAGAGTCCTCGGCTGGCATAGGCAATTACCCTAAGATGACCCTCCTGCTCCTGATAAAGCGCGGCACCAAGCCCAACAGCACTCGCATCCGTGTGCAATATATACGGTCTCTGCGGGTCAGCAAACCCAAGGACAGGTGCAGTGGTAAGCTTGGTGATTAGCTCTTCAAAAGCATGTTGGCACTCTGGCGTCCATTTTTCTCCAAATGGCCGATTGAAGTCTTGGGCACTTTTGGCGGTAGCCTTCTTCTCTGCTTTACGGTTCAGGCCATAGCCTCTCGTCAAGTCATTGAGTGGCTTAGCGATGGCTGCATAACCGCAGATAAAGCGCCTATAATATCCGGCAAAGCCAAGGAAAGACTTCAACTCTTTTAGTCGCTTTGGAACCGGCCAAGATTTCAGGGCAATGAGTTTATCGGGGTCGGTCTCAACTCCATTTTCAGACACCACATGTCCAAGGTATCGAACTGAAGTCTGAAAGAATTTACATTTCTCTAGGGATAGTTTAAGACCGTATTCTTTCAGCCTGTTGAGAACACGCATTAGCCTCTCTTCATGTTCCTCTAACGTACTAGAGAACACAATCAAATCATCTAAAAACACAAGAACTTGCTTTAAGTTAAGATCAGCCATACATTTCTCCATAAGACGCTGAAACGTGGAAGGAGCATTGGTAACGCCTTGCGGCATGCGGTTGAACTCCCAAAATCCTAAGGGAGTTACGAACGCCGTTTTTGCTTTGTCTGCTTCTGCCATTTCGATTTGGTAGTAGCCGGACTTGAGGTCCAACACACTAAACCACTTGGAACCAGTTAATGCAGAGAACGACTCTTCCAGATTTGGAACAGCGTAGGCATCTTTTATTGTTTGAAGGTTCAGTTTTCTATAATCGATGCATAACCGGACATCACCATTCTTTTTGCGCACAACAACAATTGGAGACGCAAATGGGGACTCAGACTCCCGAATTACTTCAGCTTGGAGGAGATCACGTAAGTGTTTCCGTACGGCCTCAATATCTTGTGGATGTATGGGTCTTGGACGTTGCTTGAATGGAGTCTCATCGTTTAACTTTATGCTGTGTTTAATTTTGTCAGTTCTCCCAAAATCAAGATCATGATGTGCAAAAACTTCAGGGATTTTGTTCAACGTTCTTGTAATCCTTTCCTTCCATTCCTCAGATAATGGAGAATCTCCAAAGTTGGGTTGGATGTGGGAAGTGGTTCTTTCATCGGCTTGGGTTGAAACAGCATGTGACAAGATTTGGGGAGTCAACACGAGAACAGCAATGGGACTCATGGGTGGGATTGACACATCATGCTCTGATTCATTCCTCAGAATAACTGGAACTCTATGTGAGTTGTGTTGAACAGAGATGAGACAGCTAGTGACACACAATCCTCCTGCCAGTGGAATTGTGGGGTGTTCAATAAGCACTGTGCAGCCCTGTGGCGGAGAGATTGCATGTATAGAACCCTCAACAGTTACAGTACGACCAGCGGGAATTATTACTGGAGTCTTGCTGGAAAGCCTTATAACCCCTTCACCACCCAACTGGTTGTGATGGTGTTTCAACTGGAGTAATTGCAGCACTGCTTTGTAACCATGTGCTGCTGGCTGGAAGCTGGCATGTTCACTTTCCATGTATTGATCATACAATGGCTCCAGTGTATTCATTCCAATGAGCACTTGCGATGAAACCTCAGATGAAAAATCTGGGACAACGAGTGCAAGTGTTAATACATCAGTGTCAATTCCGATAAAGTCTTTTGGAAAACGAATGTTCATTTCGATGTACCCCAGGTAAGGAACGGTTTGACCTGCAGCGCCCTCTACTTGAAGTAGGTCATACAATGGTTTCAACGTCTGGCGGGACAGATACTTGTTGTAAAATGAGACTGGCACAGTGGTCACTTGCGATCCTGTATCGAGTAAGCAATGACAGACTTGACCCGCTATGAAAACTTCACTCGTGCACTTGGATCCGATGAGCCCTTTTGGTAAGTAAAACTTTGAATTCGATGAGTGTTCTTTGCAGATAACGGGTTGACTAGTCTTGGGACATTTTTGGTCCACAGTTTCCATTCGCCCCTTAACAGAAACTCATTCAGTTTAAAGACTGGTGGAATGCTTTCGATTTTCCCCACTTGCCTTTCTTCTCTTCAAATTGTTTTCGTTTTACGGCAACAAGGGCAGAGTTTGGGGGGTTATCGCATTGTGGTCTAATATGGCCTTCTTCGCCACACCTAAAACAATAGCCAGGCTTAGGCACAGAAGGTGGGTTTCTTTCTGGCTTGCCCACCCCCCGACCTTCACCCGAACTAATGCCAGGACCAGCCCTAACTGCAGGGGACTTGTGCAACTGGGATTGGTTGGCGGTCAAAGAAGCCAATTGTCTCTGTATGTCCGATATTTCTTTTGACAGTTGCTCAAGCGTGGCTACTTCGGGTTGTCTTTCACTTGTGTGTGTATACTGGTAATGGGATATGACTTTAGCTTTGACTGGGCCTAAATGTTGCTTCATTCTTTGGACCTTGGCAGCCTCCCGATCTTCCTCTGTACGAAGCAGTAGCAGCAGGTCAGCAAAAGATGGAGGGTTAGACTTTCGTTGCTTGAGCTGGAGTTCGGATATTAGTGTGTTATCCCAACAGCCTCTACAGAACTGGTTGAGAAGATGTTTATTGACTTCAGCGTATGGAATGCCTCCCCTCTTCACTGCCAACCCTAGCGCTACTTGTAATCGTTGAAGATAAGAAGACGGCTTTTCTCCAGAGTCTTGAAAAGTATCCATGAACTTGGCGTAAAGCTCGTCACCATCTTGCACCGTACCATAAGCAGAGTCAAGAATATGGATGTACACAGCCGGTGGCGTTTCAGATTTAAGATGCTTCACCATGTCGGCGGCAGGGGGTAAAAGACTCTCAAATATCTTCCG